CTCAATTCCTATTATCACTTTTGACGATATACATGTCTTTATACATGTCGTTAATCAAGAAGTGAATCTAGAATCTCAATAATGTTATTTTGAACAACTCTCTATTTAAGATGAGAAATCATTTCGAAAGAACAAACTCAACAACCTCATAGAACAAATGTCATTAAGAAGACCCATGAGATGAGAGAAGTAATGTTACATTATTATGTTGTATTTATCCAAGAAATAAGGATGATAGTGGAATGATGGAGGATGATCTAATCAACTTTCATTATATCATAAAAGTTTTGACTTATCATAAGTTTATTAATGTCATGGAAGAATATTATACGTTCTATACAAGATAATAAAGTTTAAGAACTTGTCTCATTACCTGAAGGTGCAAAACTAATTGATTACAAATGGATATTTAAAACCAAAATTGTAACGCCTCGAATCTCGAGTTATGACTTTCGAGTTAACCCGAGTGGGCCTTATAATAAACCCAGTAGCATTGTAGGAAGATTTTACCAAGTTGGCTTTGGTTTTGGGTTTGGGCTTGGATTTGGCTCAATATGAGATAAGAATAGGGTTTTTAAGTTGGGATCAAAGCTAAGAGGATTAAAAGAACAATTCTACCATTTAAAAGTTCAAAAGCTGAAAACTCTTAATTGTGTGTGATCTCACGTTATTCCCTCCTCTTTTTCACCATTCTCTTATTTGTCTTCTTCCTCCATTCCTCGTCATTTTATTCTTCTCCAAGAGTAGAACAAAGGTTGAAGCTTTTAGTTTTTCAAGCCTAGTTCAAGGATTTCTAGGTAAGAATCATATCATACTCATTTCAAGCTTCATTTTAAGCCCTTAATCTCTACATTTCTTCAAGGTAACCAAAAGTGGGTTTTTTTTTGGGTTTTTAGAAACCTAAGTGATTTCAACTAGTTTTTAAGAGATTCAGAACTCTAGAAATATTTTAAACTCCTTTCTAAACTCTCCAACAACGTTAGTAATCCATGTGTTTGATTCTGAATAGTGAGAGAAGTTGGAGAAAGCTCCATGACTAAGAGATAGGAAAAACTCATACTTGGTTGAACCTTGGGTGTTTCCAACAGCTTAGGATATCAAGGTAACTAACATATAACTCAAATTTACTAAATATAGGTTACTAGATGTGTTTTAGTAGGTTGCATGAGTTATAAAGCATGTTCATGGTATAATTCAGAAATCAATATTTTCCAGTATGTTTATGGACTCATTATGACCCCTATATTAATATATAGCTCTTTAATAATGTTTGAGGGCCTCAATAGAATGTTTAAGAGTGTTGGGGAGGTATTTTTGTGCCCAAAATAGAGTATTTCTAGGCAGAAGTATAAGTATTGGAATAACAATACCGATATTGTTATTTAGGTGTTAAAAATAAGGGGTTTTGGGCATATAAGTACCGATACTCATGCAATGGGTATCGTTACTATAGGTAAAATATCGATACTCGCATGGTAGTGTCGATATCGAGTTCACTTAGCAGATTTCAGTAGTCAAATTCATGTCGATACTCATGGGAGTATCGATACCAAGGGTAGAGTAAAGATACTCCCCAATAGAAAACAACGAAGATAAATTTGGTATCGATACTCAGGAAAGTATTGATACTGAAGACCAGAAGTATTGATACTTAAGAAGAAGTATCGATACCAATCTTTTTTATCAACCTTCAATGAGTTAGTAGTATCGATACCCAGAGGTTAGTATCAATACCAGAGGGTCAGTATTGATACTGAACAACTTATTATCGGTACCCATGAATAGTTCTGGGTAGGAAACCCAAGGGTTTTAAAGCTTATAATTGAGGGACCCAATAACGCCAAAACGTCATGAAATAAAACTAGAAAGGTTAAAGGGTGTGTGAGCTCCGAGATGCAGAACCCTCAACCACACCAATATACCTACCTCAACATGATAGTTCAGAATATCCATGTGTTTATATCTATGCCACTAACATGTGCATTTAGTAAATGCATATAGTATCGTACAATTACTAGCGAGGTACTAAGCTCGTAACCTCAGCGTTCGAAATGTGTTTATGTTCGCAGGTTCTTAGAAGGTCATCTGAGGAGCGTTATAGTCACCAGATATTCCAACACAGCCAAGGCACCAAAGTATGTCTTGATTTAGTTTAGAGGGCACGTACTATTGTAGACCATTTTGTATTTAGTCGTAACTCTATTTTATTTTTAAACCCAGTGTATTATTTTCGGATATTTTGGGAGCTCTCCCGTAGTTGTTAAACAAATTTATTATGTTTTATTTACATTCATATGGATGAAATTTTATATAATGGTTTACAATGTTTTAAAAATGAAATTGTTGGCTTAGCCACTTCAGTGGTCCTGTGTGATATCATGATCTAGTGATCCTCAAGTCAGACTGGATTAGGGTGTTATATTTAGTGGTATCAGAACATCAGGTTTAGTCGTTCCTAGGACCTGCAAGTTAGAGTCATCCAACGTCTATAAGTGTACATGTATCTAGAGAGTCAAAAGTACTTTAAAGACTATAATGACAAATAATAACCTCTGTTTAATCCCAACATTTAGTTAGGATGACAGAGACGAGAGTCATGCCTCATTAGCAGTTGAAACCAGTGACAAGTTCATCCCGGATATAGACTAGTAGACGTACGTATAAATGTAGGGGTCGATGAGGTGACCTTCTTTAGGGACCTTACCTCTACCCTTAAACAGATAGTTAGAGATATACCCGACACCTCAACTGCACCACCTCCCCCACCAAAACCACTAGCCTAGTCTAGAGTAGTGTCTATAGAGTCCCCGATAGAGAGACTCCGTAGATATAAGACCCATCAAGTTTTTCGATTTAGGGGATGATGATCCCATAGCAACAGACTAGTGGCTTAGGGAGACTCTCTGCACCCTCATACAGCTGTACCTTGCCAACACTCCCTATATCGATACTCATGCCCAAAAATACCCTAATTTGAGTATGAAAATTCCTCTCCAACACTCCCAAATGTCCTAATGAGGTCCCCAAAGGTTATTAGAGTGTTATGTCTGATAATAGGGTCATAATAAGGTTATAACATATTGAAAAACACCCCAATGTTGAATCTACCATGGACATGCTTCATAACTCATGCAAGCTAACAAACTCACCTAGTGATCTACATTACAGTAGAGATGAGTTAGAAGTGAGTTACCTTGAGTCCTAAGCTGCTAGGAGTTTCTTTAACTCAAAAAAGGGTGAGTTTTTCTTTTCCCTTTAACTTTGAGCTTTCTGCAACTTCTCTCACTAGACAATAATCAAACATATGGATTACTAATGTGTTTGAGAGCTTGGAAATGTATTAAAAAACGCTTCCTAATGTTGGATTTCCTAAAAAACAAGCTGATTTATTATGTGATTCTAAACCCTCACTAAAACCCATGTTTTGGACACCATGACCAAAACTTAAAGGAGGGCTTGAACTAAAGCTTGGAAAGAGGAGATTAAGTTTCTTACCATGATATTATTGAATTTTAGTGTTAATTGTCAACTATCGGTATTCATCATTTTTCATCTATTTTTTTATATTACATTTTTATTTTTTGTGAATTTCTAATAGTTTGTCTTTATGAGACCATTTTATCTGCTTCTTGGCACGCTTTTGATATTCTCTATCATTCATTTAACCATTATTTTTTGTTTAATTTTTTTAGGATTGAATTTGACGTCGCCTCAATTGATCAAGATTGCGCTTATTTATTATCATATTGATATGTCTTGCTTTGGACCCTCGTATGAATTTGAATAAACGATTTGTGTTCAAAGATAGTTTTCTCATGACACTCGACTTTGATTCAGGATTATCGGTGGTCTTTCAGGTGATTGGTCCTCTATTCTGGTTCGTTTGTCTATACAGTCAGATCTATTTGCATCTTTATTTTGTTCAAGTTTTCTTGGATGAGTTTTTAACCTTTTCTTTGTATGGTCCTTATATGATCTTAAGTGGCTAATTTTGTGTCAATGGTTATAGGAAATGTCCTATTTGTGGATTTAGTTTACACTTATGATTGTAATTTTATATTTTTCTTTTTTAATAAAACTAGCGGGTTCTATTTGCGTCAACAAAAAACTTCGACTCTTGAAGCTCTTTAGGCTTCACTGTCTTGTATTCAATTTAGTTCACACATTCATCAATATTTAAAATGTAAAAAAATAAAAACTAAAATAAGAATCAAATAAACGAGTTTATAAACGAGTTGGTTCGTAAATGCAAATAAATTATAAAATAAAATTTATATACATAAAATTTTAGATCTAATTTTAGATTTTAAGATACAAAATTCATATTGGGGAGGAAAATTAAGTGATTATAACTTTGAAAATTAAGTGCAACAAATACTTTCCAAATAAATAAAATGCTTAATACAAAAACAAGTTCCTAAATTATACTTAAAATTGACTTTTAGTGTTTAAAGAATTATTTTTTAAAAATAGGCACATAATGTTTTTTCCTTTATACTTTTAGGTACTTACCGTTAAAAAATCTCGTTCAGTGACACGTCTCACTTTATATTTTTTTTTAAATTTAAACTATTTTTTTAAAATATTTTTTTAAAATCTGAACGTGACATATCACTTAATGATTTTTTAAGATAATCATCTAAAAGTGTAACAGAAAAAGCATTAGTGATAATGTTACTCTTTGTAATCAATGAGATATTGCTTAAAAGGGTGTTTTTGTCTATGTTTTGGCTGTAGGGAGAAAGTTTAGAGTTTGAGTTTTGTAATCTGATTGATTATTGTTTCGATTGATTGTAGTAGTTTTTTCTGCTTCTTTTGGATAATAAAATGATTTATCTAAAAAAAATATTAAACACATATTTTTAACAAAAAATTCTTCATACACTAAAAATTAATTTTAAATATAATTTAATCACTTATAAATATTTTTATGGTAAACTTAAATAAAAAAATAAAATGGTCTGAAAATGTACAAAGATCTCCAAATGGCAAAGCCCGAGTCAAGGCCTGGCCGGAGCAAGACTAAGGTGCAAATCTAATCCCAGTGCTTCATCAAAACTGGGGTCGCCATCTGCATTTGAAAACCTACGCAACGACGGCCAATCAACCGCCCTCTCATGGTGGTGGGCCCCACCTTGCATCACTTGTGGACCAATGGCGACGCTGTTATCCCCCAAACCACCACCACCGTAAGGTACACCCGCCAGCCCTCTCCCCGCTCCACCACCTCCACCTCCACCAACATCTGGGATCACGCAACCATGTGAGACGTGGAAAGGAGGTGGAGCTCCTCGAGGCAAGTAAACCCACGATGGTCCCGCCGCATCCGGCACAGCGACGGGTGTAGCCCATGCTAAGAGATGTGGCGGAGGGGAAAAGGCAGAGATAATAGGATTTCTAGCGAACGAAACGGCGGCGCTTCTTGAGGCTCGAAGTTGAGCACGCTTCATCAGTTGCCTCTCCTTCTTATGAGCGTTCTGATGACCTCCCAAAGCTTGAGAATTACCAAACTCACGGAAACAGTACTGACACTCGTATTTCCGGTCACCGGAAGCCTCGAATACGCCCGGATCGGAAGACGACCCCGATGAAGGATCTTTGGTGGCGCTGGAATCCATAATATCATCATCTTCCGAGACGTTGAAGCCGAAGAGCTTTAAACATGCGGTGGTTCTGTTGCTTTTGGTATTATCAGCTAGGTATTCTAGCTCCGCCATGATAGAGAAAAACAAAAACAGAAAGAAAAATGAACAAGCGTGGGGATTAATAGTTTAATGTAATGTAAGGGAAAGAGTTGCATGTGTGGGGGTATATATATACATAATATAAAGGGGTTACAGGACATGAACAGTAGAAACTTAAGAACGAAAGAGAAAGATTTCGGATATTCCAAGGAGAACCGACACGATCCAAGAACACTTGATTTGGGACCCTCTCCTCCTATGGTTTGTAAGGACACTTTTGCTGAGAACGTGAAGCAATTAGGTTAGATTAAAACAGGTAGGAAGGGGGAGCTTCTATAGCAAATGAAGCTTACCAAGTTGTTTTAAGACATTAGGTTGGGTCAAAATGATTATGTTCTAACACGACGCGTACAATTCCAAGGAGCTGGTAATCTGAAGTTAAGTGAGGTCTATAGTAGGGATGTATAGGCAGCTAGGTCGATGCCTATTGATGGTGGACATCACCAATGCTATATGGTTAATGATATCATGGTGGAATTAGATTTTTAGCCTATTTAAATATAATTAGATAAAACAAAGACCTGTATATAATTTCATTTTTATTAAGAATTAAAAAGATGTAAAAAAATATTATTATAATTATACTTAAATATATAAATAAATATTATGATATTATATTAAATCAAATCAAATCAGATTTTTCTTTACCTTAAATTCAAATCATATCTTCTCTCATGTTTTGAAAAACTTACGTGACACGAAATGAAATTTGAAAAATTAACTTATTAAATTCGTTTAAGCGCCCATATGTATATATGATTTTAGGTTAAACAAAATACTAACAAACAAAATGAGGGCGTACTAATGGAAAGATTCCATTCGAAATGATGACACGTGTTGGAAATCTGGGAGACCTTTTTGTAATCACCATGAACTGCTTCTTTTCTTTTGTTTAATCAATTAATTAATTAACGAAAAAAAGCTGTGTGTTAAAGGTGGTGGAACTGGAAGTGTGTCCAATGAGACGCCGTGGTGGCCCTCTCTCTCTGTCCCGCGTTTCACTATAGTTCCCATTTCTCTCTAAAAGAGTCGAATTAAACCTGACATGTAAAATCCATGCATGCATATGGTGAGTGTATTAATGGCGATAAATAGATAATATTCTATCATTTATGGATGACGTAAACATGAGCCAATGCGTACTTCTTGGACACACATATGTGTGTAGTATAGGGTTTAGGGTATGGGAATTGAAAACGATGGAAATTGGAATGTTTCAAGTGTTTTACTACAACTGGACCCATATGTTTACGTGTTGATTATGGATAATAATTGTTTAGGGATGTTTAATGTGATTAACGATCAACTCTACATTTCTTTATGTAATTTTCTTGTTTTGCCGATGCAAAGATTTATCCGAATCTTACTTATTGCCGACAGAGTCATAGAGGACGGACTGAGGGAAAGGGTGGGAACAGACTAACAGTAATCTTCGTATTATATTTTAGATTTTTCCTTTATATTTTTATTGATAATTTACTTTAAAATTTTATAAATTCACTCTTCTTTAAAAATTTATATCTTTACTTTAACAAAAAAATAACATATTTGTCTCTAAATTTTTTTTATCTTTCCCCTAATATAAGATCATATATTTGTTGCTAATCTCGTATAGTAGAGCCTTTGGATTTCTTCTGAATTCTAATCTCATAAACGATCTTCCTCCCTCTTCCAAAAAAAAGAATAGCAAACGTGATACTATTAACATAATAACAATTTGTATTATATTATGCAAAAGCTCCTACCAAGTGTTCGTATTAGTAGCAACCAAGGACGGTGTTATCTTATGAGTGGGAAGGATAGTGGCCCTTCAAAACTTTTTGGATAAATTATTTTAGGCCTTTATACTTTTGAAATTAAAGAGGAAAAAAAAAGTTGCCTCTCCAGAATTTTTAGGTTCAATTACTTTAAGGTCTTCTTAATTTTGAAATTATATAATCAAGTCTTGGCTCACTTTTTTTTTATTTAAATACTTCTTAGGTCTATTTATTTTAAAATAAGAAAAATTAAGTTCAACCCTTACTATTTGGTTTAAATACTAATTAGATTATTTCTAGTTTCAAAATTAGGTAAAAATAGATCCGTCTAAACTTAAAATTTTATATTAATGGCTTAATATTAGATATTGACCTCCATTTTATTACCATGAATATTTACCTTCAACGATTCATCCTGCCTGCATACTTGATAGGCGCTCTAATCAAAACCAGAATCCTCACCCGTAAAATAGAAAAATTTGAACACCTCCGCAACGAAAATTTTAGACATTATAGGTACTCGATCTATTTCCTTTGTTTCCCCCCCCCCCATTTTTTATTAACCAAGTAATAACACATACACAGACATACCAACAATATAATCATCAATCAACCAAACCAGATGAGACCGGGGGTGGAATTGGAACCAAGGCTAAACCACAAATTTCATGAAAAAAATTCTACGATAACTATAAACGTTGAGTTCGAGGCCGCAATTAAGTATCAAAGGAGAACTCACTTGATCAAATTACCAAAAAAGGACTTAAAAGTTACAGCCATATCTTCATACATTAACATGATCTTTACTCTAAAACTGACTCAACACAAAAACCATGGTGGATCAGAAACATAGGAAATGAATTGAATAAATAATACAAAGCAAGCTTTAGCTTTAGCATTAGCAAGCAGGAGAGTGGTGGCAAATATTTCTAACCTGAATCCCATTTCAACCAAGCTTTTTATCTGATCCCTTCAAATTCAAATTAAACCATTTCTTTTTGCTTGATTTATCCTTCCCGTCCGAGTTTCCATCTTCCCGTGGACTTTCAGCCTCACCGGGAACTTTGCTTGTGCTTCCATTACTTAGATTAACACCAACACTGTTGAGTGTTTTCGTTACAGTGAATGAAGCTTGGATGCTATCACGCTGATTCAGCAGCTCATCTACCTGTGTTATGGATGCCAAAACATGGAATCGGTCAAGCCATCAATATATTTACACAAGAATGAAGCAAACCTTGGTAAAATTACTCGCGGAAAGACCAAGAAACTTAGCATTTTCTATAGCCATTAATCAAAATATTAGAAGGCATATGTTCAGGCTGGTGCACTAAATATGCATACATATAGAAAAGGCATATCCTTACGCATATAAGAAAGTCATTTGCTAAATTTAAAGGACTGCATAAATCCATGAAAAAAACTGGTACGACAGGAAGATAAGAACAGATGAAAAAGTACAATTTAAAGATAAAACTAAAAATACACAGAACAAGGTTTTGAAACATACAGACTGCTTTTCTTGGCTGTATCGGTTGGTCACTTCTTGATAGTGTGCTAATGCCTACAAATATCCCACCATAAAATCAAAATGCGTACAAGCCCTATAACAAGCTTGGAATAGCACAATACTATTTTCAGCAAAATAGAAAAAAGAACATAGCTGAATTAATACTTTTCTATATTCTGCTTCAAACTGGCGCAACTCATTTCTCTTGCTTAAAATCTGAGCTTCAATATCCTTTAGCTTCTCAGTAGTATCCTCAAAAAACTTTGCACAAAGTGCCTCAATTGTGTAAGAAGCAGTCTTGAAAAAATTATCTCCTAATATAATTCAGCCAAACCAGTCAACTAAAAACACCAATACTCCTAAACATACTCCAAACAAAATTAACAGACAACAAAATGCTCCAACCATAAACAGCAAATATATGTGTGCCAGCTTTTAGTTTTGAAACCTCACAAGGTTGAAGACCTTCCAACCTTTTAAAGAAAGCAGATTCGGGATCTTTAGCTATTGCTAACTGCATAATACATGAATATATCACCACCTCTTGCTAAAACAAGTCAAACAAAGACCAGAGACGAGGAAGACAGAAGTAAGAAATGACAAACCACACACCGCATTTACAGTCAAATCCATTCTGTATACTTGAAAGTGCAAGAAATACATGCCAGCAGATGTCACCTTGCCTGTCTTCTCACTGTCTTCCTGGACACAAAACAGTGAAATTATAAATAGAAAAGTAATAAATGTATGGATAATGCCCAATTACTTCAGAAATATAACTATAAGTAACAACATATCCTTGATTTACTACAAGAGCTTTTTCTGCAAAACCACTGAACCATTAGTAACATGTGCTTTCATATAACAATAGAGCACTAGTATATCAATAACCGTGTCAAAAGCAATAGCAATCTGATAGAAAATGCCAAAGGGAAAATTGAAAGCTCAAGCTTAGAGAGAAAATAAACTTAATACTGTGTATGACTTGTACAATATAGAAATCAAACAATCACATAAAAAATAAATAAGTGAAATAAAATCTGCATGGATTACCTTCGAATTTAACACTTAAATTGAACATGTTACTCCAAAATTTATACGCAAATCATTCAAATTGGAAAGGACAACAATCGAAGACAAGTGCTTAGTACCTGTAGGGCCAAACCGTAACCACCATTGACGTCTTGTTCAAAATAAAGTAACTGGAATTTTACATTAATAAAACAGTCAGTTACAATATGTCTGACAAAGTGCCACATAGAAGAGATGCATACCCATACAACAATCGAAGACAAGTGCTTAGTACCTGTAGGGCCAAACCGTAACCACCATTGACGTCTTGTTCAAAATAAAGTAACTGGAATTTTACATTAATAAAACAGTCAGTTACAATATGTCTGACAAAGTGCCACATAGAAGAGATGCATACCCATGAGCAATGGTCATGCACACAAAAACACACAGCAAGAGAGAAAACGAGAGAGAAGTGACGAGGTAGGGGACACATCATGCATTTCCCTCCTTGTGAAAGAACATTAGACCATTCGAATAATAATAATTAACAGATTAGATACCTTGAATTTGCTTTGTGCGGATGAAGTTACCCTGACAACAATCCCAGCCTCAGCTTGTTCATCACTTATTGTAACACCAAAGAAGTGGGCACATTGCTTGTCTACCTGCAGCAAAATGCATGAGAATTTGCAAAAGTGTATGGAAGAAAATGGTAAATCAGCTAGAAAGACAAAAAACACCTTTCCACCAACTGATGTTCCAATAGGAAGGGGTCTAACTGTGACGGTTCCATTTAGAGCTTCTTCAA